AGGACTTCACGTCCCCCCCCCCCCAAATAGCTAGCAATCCAAAACAGTCCAGTGGAACCTGAGCGGTGGGTGTTGCCTTCTGACACACTTCCGGTGATGTCAGGGGGTGTGGCATATGCAAGTTATGCTAATGAGTTATGCTAATGAGCGCCTGCACCTTTTTCTATGAAATGACCCCTGTGCATGGTTAATGAACAAAGTAGTGGAAGCAGTAAAAGGTAAGAAGGATTCCCTTAAGCGGCGGTAGGCTCGTCCAAGTGAGGTAAATAAAAGGGAGAACAGGCTTTGGCAAAATAAATGCAAGTCGGTGATCAGACAGGCAAAAAAGGGACTATGAGGAACATATTGCAAAAAACATAAAGACCAACAATTAAAATGTCTTCAAATACATTAGTATCAGAAAACCAGCCAGGGTAGCAGTGGAGCCCTTGGATGACCAAGGGATAAAAGGATTACTAAAGGATGATATGGAAATGGCAGAGAAGCTGAATGCATTTTTTGCCTCTGTCTTCACTGTGGAAGATGTGAGGTGCTTGCCTGCTCCAGAACCGCTAATTTCAGGAGGGGTGTCAAAAAGACCTGAGTCAGATTGAAGTGGCAAAAGAGGAGGTCCTACAATTGATGGACAAATTAAAAACTGACAAGTCACCAGTCCCAGAGTTCTGAAAGAACACAAATATAAACTTGTGGACCTCCTGACAAAAATATGCTATCACTAAAATCTGGCTACATTCGCAAGGACTGGAAGGTAGATAAAGTAACCCCCATCCTTTTAAAAGGTTCCAGAGGAGATTCCGGAAATTACAGGCCAGTCAGTCTGGTGTCAATACCGGGTAAATTGGTGGAATCTGTTATTAAAGATAGGATTAGTAGGCACATTGATGGACAAACATTATTGAGGAAGAATCAGCATGGGTTCTGTAAGGGAAGATCTTGCCTCACTAACCTTTGAGAGTTCTTTGAGGGGGTGAACAAACATGTGGACAAGGGTGACCCAGTAGATGTTGTTGTTCACCTAGACTTCCGGAAAGCTTTTGATAAAGTTCCTCATCAAGGACTCCCAAGTAAACTCAGCAGTCATGGGAAAAGAGGACAAGTGCTCTTGTGGATTAAAAACTGGCTAATTAACGGAAAACAGAGAGTGAGTATAAATGGGCAGTTTTCACCGTGGAAGGTGGTAAGCATTGGGGTACTGCAGGGCTTGGTACTTGGTCTTGTGCTTTTCCGCTTGTTCATTAATGATTTGGAATTGGGAGCAGGCAGCTGTCCCAAAGGCATCCACTGTTCAACATCTATATGCACCCCCTTGCCCATTTTGCCTGGAGGCATGGGCTAGGGTGTCACCAGTATGTGGGTGACACTCAGCTCTATCTGCTGTTGGGGGGCCAGTCTGACTCTACGCCAGAAGATCTGGACCAGGCGTTACAAGCCATGGCTGGTTGGCTTAGACTGAATTGACTGAAACTGAATTAGGGCTGCCAAATGCAGCCGGGGGGCGGGGATTCCCCCGCTTCGGCGCCCCGATTCCCGGCGCGCCGGAATCGGGGCCCGGGGGAAACCCCACCCCCGCGTGCGCGTCACCGGAAGTGACGTCGC